CTCTCATACCCCTGCAGAGACTCTTATATCTCATGACTCCGCCTCTCGAGCGCTCTCATTGGTCCATGCAGATAGAACATTAATATTCATGATCCTTGGGGAAACAACAGTTACTTTCATTTGTGTACTATTTCTCTGTATATGCAGACATAAATTAGATCTTACATTTCATTAGTACTACTAATAATCTCATGCCAGGAAATCAATTCTGATTTACAGTGACCCTGTCCAGGGTTTTCTACATAAAGAATATTCAGAAGTGGTTTACCATTCCTTTCTTCTGGGGTTGCCCTGGGATGATGCAGCTTGCCCAAGGGTTAGTTAGGATTATATCCATGCAAACAAAAACAGTGAGATCCCTCACAAAATTTGAGAGATCTGATTACAGTCTGACATAAACAATTTACAAATCAATCTGGTATCAAAAATTTACAAGTTATTACTGCAATTGTAGAATCGTAGATTTTAAATAGTTAAAGACCATGAAGGAACAGGATTTGAAGTTATAGTCATAGAAAGACAATGGAACTCAGCACCATCTCACAAAGCTTTTAAATCTAGTTTGGCGAAGGTTGGGGAGATACCTCTCAAATTTCCAGACAGATAGAGCTTGCTTGCTTATTTATTTATTTATATCCCGCCTATCTGGTCAATATGACCACTCTTATCCCAACAAAGGCCCATAATAATCACAATTCTACAAATCAGCATTGGCAACAGCAGTTATACTGAGTACCTTTATAGGCTGCAATGTTTTGATGCTCCATAAAGATCTAGTAAACTTTCTCCCACTAGGTGCAAGACAAGGAATAACCAAAAGGTGGGAGGACAGAACTTTAATCTGGAGAGTTGTGTTTGGAGTTTGGCATTATCAGAGAAACAAATACAAGAAGGATTTAGTGCCTGATTTCAAACAAATACAAACAGATGTGACACTATTTGTTATTCCTTTATCAACATAGCAGCCCTAAATTACTGCTTTTAAGAGAAGAATGCTAAACTTTTATGGAGAGGCCTGGAGAAACTGAAAGGATTAACTTTGGCAAGTATCCATTCTCCCTTTGCTGACTTTTTCTTTCTAAGTGGATAAATTGTTATTTGAAATACTGTCCACTTTATATGAAATACACTTTATATCCTGAAGGGAGGCCTTTCTTTTGTCCTACCACCTTCACACGGGAAAGGGCCATCTCTGTTGCTGCTCCCAGACTGTGGAACTCCCTCCCACTGGAGACCAGGCTAATTCCACCTTTGCTGTCTTTCTGCAAGCAGATGAAGACCTTAATCTTCAGGCAGGCTCTCCGTTCCTGATTGTCTCTCTGAAAGTGGTTTTTAAACGGAATGTTGTGCCTTTATGGTTTGAATGTTTTTATGTTGATTTTGTTTACTCTTTAGCATGGTATTTGTTTTATTATTTTTAAATATTTGTATACTTACTGTTTTTAGTAAGTATACAAATAATTTAAATATTATATTTTATTGATGTAAGCCACCTTGGGTCCTTTTTAATGAGAAAGGCAGGGTAAAATATTTTAGATAAAATAAATAAATCACCTGCAGAGAAATCCAGTACTTAGATTGCATATAAAGTTGCTTTCACTTTATTTACATATTATGGGCATGGCAAAGTTTTGTTATCCTGATTAGTATTTAATATGGCACCCCATCAACTTTTGTACTTCTTGTAATGGTGATGTTTAGATTTTTATGGGCACCTTTTCGGACGCACTTCACCAGAGCCTTGGCAACAGGCACACATTCCCTCTGGGGCATCCCCTTGCTGAATATTTGCACAGCAGCTACAGGGACACAGACAGCCTTTATCACTCACGACCCATTGGATACCAGACGAAAGTCGGACAAAACACAGATGCCTCCTTTGAAAGAGTGGTGACTTCCTCTGTCTTGGCGTGACACCCTCCTTCCAGGTAAGTGAGCTTGCTACTCACCCTAAGTGTGATTCATAAAGGCCACAAAGAAGAACAGGTTACTTACCTGTAACAGTGGTTCTTCAAATGGTCCTCCGTGAAGTCACAAGTCTCACCCATCCTCCCCTCTATGTCACACCCTCACTTGCAGCAAGGTCAACTTGAACTGAGAGGAGAACCTCTGCATCACAGAGGACCACGCAAAGAACCACTGTTACAAGTAGGCAAGCTGTTCGTTTCTCGACTAGGTTCCTGATCAGGATTATGTAAGCAAGCTGGGCATACCTGAAATGCTGGTGTAACAGTGAGGATGTCAATAAAGAATCCAGAGGACATTATGAAATCAGAAAGCTCTAAGCTGGCGTAGCTTAATGGATTGGAGTCTGTGGCTGCAAAACCAAGAGCCGGGAGTTTTGATTTCCTGTCAGAGAAGGGCCAAACAAGATAACTGGGAACATACATGGCTGATGGTGCTTATGTGCTCTGCCACCTGTGTGGCCTTGGGCAAGGTACTTGGTAGACCCAGACCACCACCAGGAGGAGGGACTGAGAAACTACTTTTCATTACTTTATAGTTAGAAATCTTACCGGAGGGTTGCAATAAGTCGAAACTGACTTAATAATGCATATTAATTATTAAGGACCCTCCAGCTTTTGTCTAGTGTGTGGACCTTTTGTGATCTGACTCATTAGGTGATCACGACAGGAGCACTCACAATGTTGCTCCTGTCAAACATTAGATTTAACACTATCATTTTGTGAATTTCTGTAAAGCAATCGTTTGTAATCTATGATCCCGGCATATGAAGCCCAAATAGGTCTGCAATATGCATTCAGGGTGCAATCACTGTGCCTTGTCCCTTCTCTCTCATTACCAGGTATTAAATCTGCAGAATTAGCCAGAGAACCACAAAGCAACCGGAATCCAAAATTAACTGTATCTAAACGATGCAGGGCCTGAGGCCCCCAGAGAATATATCTGAAAAAGACTGTGGTCAGATCTGCTGCCCAACATTACCTAGCTGTTATTGTCTGTTACTATGTTATTGCTGTTTCTCTCTCATTACCAGGTATGAAATCTGCAAAATTAGCCAGAGAACCACAAAGCTACTCTTCTGCTGCCCAACATTACCTATCTGTTATTGTCTGTTACTATGTTATTGCTGTTGTTTTCCAGGAAAAGGTATGGAAAATTCATATGTAACTTGTTCACAAGACCAAAGTGACCTGGGTTGGCATCTGCGAGAAAGCTGAGTCTAAATCCTTCCTGCCCTGCCAAAGAGGAGATATGGTCTTCAATGTTAACTATATAGCTGAGTGATATCCCCAAAAATATCTCACCTGAGTCACTTTAAACTAACAAGATAATTTTAGGACTTTCATTCTTCTTCCTCACCTCTGCAAATGCCCAACCTAATGAAGAAAGAGCCCTGCAGGATTCAAAAACTACCGGTAGCTTGTTTTTTGTAAGAGTTTGTTTGTATTTACCACCAAATCACCTCCAACTTACGATGACCGCATGAATGAGTAATCTCCAAACTATCCTATCTTCAACTGCTCTGGTCAGCTCTTGCAAGGCTATGGCTTTATTTAGGGCAGACATTCTTAACCATTTTAGCGGTTGGCACCCCACTGAATCTCAAAATACCCTCTCGCTCCACCTTGAAAAATTGTTCAAAATATTTGTTAGAAAATTACATTTATTGCAAAACAATTTACTGTATTTACTGAAAAATAGATAGCCACATATGTACTGATGTAAAATTAAAATGTCTGTTTTTAGTGGCTAATATGTTGTTGTTTATTCATAATAATATTTTGAAAGTGGGGTTCCTTTTTCAAAAGAGCTACGTGCATGTATTTAAGCAATTTCTGGTTTTTGTTTTTATATGTAAAAGTGATGAAAATCCCATTTTGCACAGATAGGTGGTAGCAAACAGTAGAAGTGTCTGCAATGCTGCCTTTGCCAGTTGTGGAAATGGTTCTAACTGAGCACACCAGAATTGTTCTAAGTCCATTTTTTCAATTCCATTTGAATACATGCATTGGCCCATATTTCAATAAGTTTGTCTTTTATTAAATTACCATTGTCTGCAGAATTAAGCTTAAACAGAAATGAATTTAAGGTAAAATGATGATTTTCTCATTTTCCAGAATGATTTAATCAAGCAAGGGAAAGTTTGCAAAATTACCATTTTCAACTTGATATATCCAAATTTTTAGTTTTTCAGTAAAAGCGGATAATTTTTCAGTGTGTTATTATGTTCTTACCACATCCTTGCATTGATATAGTTAATTCCTTTATGTAGCACACAAATACTAACAGCTGATTGCAATTATCAACATCAGCTGACTCATCCAGCTGAATACTCTTTTTCAGAGGACTAGCTTTAATATCTTGTACAACTTGCAGTAAAATATCCTGGCTGATACCTCGAATGAGTGATTGAATCACATCATTTGATAGTGGAATCTGCTGCATTTTCTTATGTGCTTCAGAACCTGCTAACAATTTTCACAACTTCCAATGCACATGGTTTTACTAATTCCTCAGCTACTGTATGAGGCCTCCCACCCAAGCACACAGATACGCCACCTGATAAGAAGCGCTAAAAATTTTCACAACTTCCAATGCACAGGGTTTTACTGATTCCTCAGCTACTGTATGAGGCTTCCCACCCCAGCACACAGATACGCCACCTGATAAGAAGCTTCTAACAAATGTTTCTGAAATGCTGCAAAGTCAAATTTTGTGATAGTACCGCTGGTATCAAATCAGGCCTTCTTAGACTTCAAGATGTTATGTGTCTGTCCTGCAATATAAATGTAGAAGTTAAAAAAAAAAACAACTGCTACCACCTGCACCACTAGAAGTGCTTTTTTGCACCCCTAGGGAATGTCCCACTAATCACGTCTTTAAGCCAACACTTGCACCACTAGAAATGCTTTTTTGCACCCCCAGGGAATGTCCCACTAACCACATGTCTTTAAGCTCTAGAAACTTGCAAGAGTTCCTGCACAGGCGCAGAACAACCCAATTGTGTGAATTCACAGCGGACCACTAGAAAAACCATGGTTACAGGTAAGTAACCTCTCTTTATATTCCTACCTAAGGCTTTCTCCAGTGAGAAAAGCCTCAGCCTCCTACATCACTCCCCTTCTCTCTGTTTTATCCTAACAACAACCCGGGAAGGTAGATCACAGAGAGTGTGTGTGACGCAGCATTTCCCAACCTTTTCCAGGTCTTTTGTAATAGCCAAGTAACCTGTGACTCCCTCCTGGCACATTTGCATAAAAAGGCCTTTTTAAATGGGGTAAAGAAAAGACCATTTTAGCCCCTCTTGCCTTCCTCCTCCAGGGTTCAGGTGGGGCCTGGAGGCCGCTCCCCACCCAGGTCGCCTCTCCCTTCACTCTGCTGCCACCGCTGCACCTGGAAGAGCAGGAGACTGAGGTGCAGCGAAAAGGGGTGCCGTCCCACCTCCAGTTTTTGTTCCTGCCACTGCCCTGGACATTAGCATTCTCAGCATGCACTGTGGGCTTGCCTCCGGGCTAGTGCCCAGGTCCAAAGGGCTGGCTGCCATCCTCCTAAGATGGACGCGGAGGATCAGAGAGAAAGGAGCAACAGCGTCTCTTTCAGAAAAGGCAAGAGGGATGCATATGCATAAAAGGAGCACAGAAATAATTAAGGGTGCCTCTATGGGTCAAGAGGATTAAAATAAAGCAGCACTATGTGTATACCAACGTTCTCTCTCTAAGCTGCACGGCCGTGCAATGCGGCATCGGGGCCAATCCAGTGTCAGCGCCCGTTTGCTTCTGGTCGCGACTGGATCTCTGCACGTGCCAGGGAACTGTGGCCTCAGGCTACCCAGTGGACTTCATGCCGAAGTCAGAATTTGGACCCAGGTCTCCTGAGCGCTAGTCCAGCACACTATGTCACACGGGCTTGAGTGTGATCCAAAACGCTGACTCCTGTGTGAATTTGCCACACCGAGTACAACAAAGCACAATCTGGTCGGCAGAATACCAGTTTCTAAGGGCGCTCAAAGAGCCAGGAGTATCACTTGACTCCAGGAGAATTCTCCTCCATCTTGGGCTCATTTGAGGCGTCAGCAGAGCACCGTCACAAAATGGCCGCCCTGTAGAATACCAGTTTCTAAGGAGGCTCAAAGAGCCGGGATTATCACTTGACTCCAGAATTCTCCTCCATCTTGGGTTCATTTGAGGCGTCGGCAGAGCACCGTCACAAAATGGCCGCCCTGGCTGTGTGGAGAGCCCCAAAATGGCTGTGTTACCTGCTTCAATGGCCCACTCATTGCAAACTGAGGGGTATAAAAGTGAAGGTATTTGTCCAAAACACCTGAGCACAGTATGGCATTCAACCTCCATCTACCAAACAGTGGCTTAAGCAAAATAATGCACCCATTTTATAGAAGAGAAATGAGGGATTCTGTCTGAAACACAGAGACAATTCTTTCTCTCTCTCTCTCTCTCTCTCACCCACACACACACAGACAGACACAACCTCTCCAAATCGCAAGCATACCACAAAAAGCTCCTCCTTGAGCCCTATCACAGACAGACACAACCTCTCCAAATCACAAGAGTACCACAAAAAGCTCCTCCTTGAGCCCTATACTCTCTATAAAACACATACACCGCAGAAGCAAACACTCCCATGCCATTCAACACATACTGGTATGCCAGTCCCCAAAAAACAAGGCAGCAGCAACAGCACTACTACCACTACACACACAAGTTGCACACCTTACAAAATGTAACTCAAAACAGGCGAAACAGGCACAAATCTTCCCCACACCCACCCTTTTTGCCTGCTCCCTCCATTTAGGAAACTGCAGAAAGTTCCAGAAGCGATCATGGCAATCTCCCAGGCCCTTTGGCCGACACGTTTGGTTCATTAGTTTTGATTCATCTGACTTTGAAGGATCAGCGGTAACAATCTGTACTGCTTAATTTCTCATTACTTGGCTGAAATAGCCTGCTATTATATGCCATTACAGCAGGCTAATAGTATCAGAAGCTTCTGACGCTGCAGAAATTAGTCACGTCCAAAAGGTCTTATTGTAAGCCCTGTGGGCTCTTCGGTTGGGAAATCCTGAGGAAGAGGCTGTGATTTTAATGTTCACATAGAGAGCAAGAGAGAGAGAGAGAGAGAGAGAGAGAAGCTCTGTTTCTATTCTACTGGAGCTGGAATTAGGTCTTTATCACCTTAATTCACATCCCAAGAGTCTTGGATTCTTGTACAAAGGAAAAGTTTTGCAAGGCATGGCTGTTGTTGAGTTTTGGTTCCTGAGAAGTCTGCGTTAGGAAGATTTTTGGAGGCTTTATTTCCTGAAAGATACAGTACTCCCTATCTATCTATCTATCTATCTATCTATCTATCTATCTATCTATCTATCTATCTATCTATCTATCTATCTATCTATCTATCTATCTATCTATCTATCTATCTATCTATCTGACACTGGACTTAAAATTTGAAACCTTTGCAGTTCATTCTGGGTCCAAGTGTTCCCTTTGAAAAGAGTGCCGTGGGCACCATCTAATTTACACTGAGTCCCTATTATTGCTGCCGTTTTTTCTGACACTGGACTTAAAATTTGAAACCTTTGCAGTCCATTCTGGGTCCAAGTGTTCCCTTTGAAAAGAGTGCCGCAGAACCGTCCGTCCCGTGGCCTTCTCTTCGCAGCCCTGCTGGGGGCTTGCAAACTCAAGTCCATGGCTTTCTTGAGTTAAACCCCTTTCAGGTCTAGCCTCCCTCTTTTCTTACCGCCTTCCCTTCTTCCTAGCCGTAATTATCCTATTCCAGCAAGCCCTGTCTTACTCTTGAGGCTCGGATTCCATGTATTTCTCTTCACCGGTAACAAGTATTTGGGAAAGTTAATCTTAGCTGGTTGTTCAAAACCCACCTAACCTACTTTAATCATGAAGATAATCGAAAAGTCCTAGATCCCACATCGTGAATGCTAAGTCCATCACTGTGTAAAACTGCCTGCTTAGACTAGTTCAAGGGCACAAGAGTGGTTTTTTTTGGGGGGGGGCATTTTCTTTTTCTTTCTTTCTTTCTTTCTTTCTTTCTTTCTTTCTTTCTTTCTTTCTTTCTTTCTTTCTTTCTTTCTTTCTTTCTTTCTTTCTTTCTTTCTTCTTTATCAGGTTCCGGGGTTTCCTTCTTCAAGCACCACCCACGATCCAAGTTCTGCTGCCCAACCTGCTTTGTAGCCACCCTGTCCTGAATATTTCGGGGCGTGGGTGTGAGGCTCGATCTCCCAAATGGGTTCCCAAAAGGTGATGGGTTTGTGGCCAAATCCTGGCCCAGATCCTAGACAG